GGTATTGACTTCCCAAGGACTGAAGACAGAATATATGAGACGGAGAGTTTATGGACTTTTGGCAAAGAAAATGCATCTAACTGGAGGACGGTGAGGACTGAGTTTACCTTTTAGTGAGCAATATTCGACCGCATCTGTGAGAATATGATACAAACATGAATGTTTTTTTATGAAGTTGACTTGAAAAGGCACACTATGCTCAACGTTTGTTATGTAATTTGAAAATTTGAAAGAGTAATGTGTCAATGCAAGTGGTCCATATGAACTTAAGAGGCCATGGCACATGCCACTGAGCCTGTTAACTGATTTAGTAGATAACTGTAGGCCTATTGCTCAATGTGAAATACATGAAAAAGAAGGGAATATACCACAGCATGACTTGCCTATCGAAAGTCTCCATAGTAACTCCTGGTTACATATGGGTTTATTGTTTTGGCAGTGAAGGGAGAGCGTGTATGTGGCAGAGGAGCAGGAAGATTTAGAGGAAATCCAGGATTACCTCCGGTGCTATTGCTGTACACAGCCACGTATAGACGTTCTATCTTGGGACTGACAGACCAGCATGCAAGTCAGCATCAAAACAATACCGTAATACACCGTGCGCAACAAACATAACACATAATAGGGAACGTAGTATTCTATAATATCTGACAGACCGTTAAAATATCAACATAGGTCTACATTTTGGGGTTAGTCTCTATTGATCCCTCGTCAAAATGTGTCATTTTCAAACGCTTGTGCTGTACGAATAAAGATTCCTCGTGCGCATGAGACTGTTTTCCAAAGATGGGCAACAACCACGAACATGCAGACAATTAATTGTTATTTAATTACGCCCATAGGCAGCTGCTAAAATGAACGTTTTGTGGAAAAAAAAAAAAAAAAAAGGTTAAAGTCTGACCTTGTTATGGGAGAATTTTCTTTTCCGCAGACAACTTTGCGCAGCTCCTCGGAGATGTTTTCGCTAAACTCTTACTCACTCGGCGCTCCGAGCTTTTTTGGAGATGCGCCGCTTGCATCCGCTCTTCCTCTGAGGCGGGTGAGACGGAGCGCGCGCTCTTATCTGCCACCGAGCTGCAGCTTGAAAGAAGAGCCGCGAGAGGCCGCCATAGCTTCACCCACACTGATACCTCATGCCAGGTAGTCCCACAGTCTGTCTTGTATTTTCATTTTTGGTTTATGTTTGACTAAACTTAGCACCGTTACAAGCTCTCAGTAAACAGTTTGAAGCGCCATTAGCTAATAGTCAATGTCTATCTCGTGTCTTGTGCCTATGGCGGTTAGCTAAAATAAAAAGTAAGTGGGTTAGCTTAAAGCAATGTATTATATAGCCTATCATTATGTATTCTTTTAATTAGCTGTGAATTTGTAGTGGTAGTGGATAGGCCTAACGTTACTTCATTTTTTCTTTAAACAGTCCTACATTTTTGAAAAAAAAAAAAAAAAACCTGTACAACAACCCTTACAACATGTAATAAGCCTCTGTAGCAAAGCATAGCTCTGTGTTAGCTACTTTTCAGTTTAAAATAAAACATTAGCAAATAAACCGCGCTAATTTTGATATATACGGTTACATTGTATATCTTACAGTGAGTCTCTGAAGGCAGCACGACCGCTTTTAGGTTTAGAAACAGACGTCGCCACAGCCAATACACACTTCATATCTCGATACATTTTCATTTCGAGGCACAGAGGGCGTCTATAAGCCTCCTAGGTTGTTAATTTCAAATACAAACTAAAGCGGTTTATCCAGTTCACCCCGGCTCTGTGTGGCAGGTAGCCTGCTGAGGAATGGGAGGGTGTCTCGTGAGTTAGGGAGGCTACACGGAAGTAGAATTACAGCGCGTGTCGCTGTACTTTAATGACAGGAGGCTTCGTGTGTCTGTTGACTCACATCTGGTCCACCAAACATGGCTCCAAAAGACCCTCTACTTGGCACTCTCAAAGGTAGGGATTTATAATAGAATGCACAATAAAAACGTGCTCATTATTGGATTTAAAATACTGGACGTATGTTTCGGAGGCAGCCGATTTCTTAATATCCGCGCGTATTATGCCGCAGAAACAAACGACTTTGAGTTTTAATTCTGTTGCACACAAAAAAACCATGTTATTATTTTCTTCCAGTCCGTTTTATCTTCTGCACAGCATCTTTTGTAGTCTCACTGATGTGTGAAATGTCGATGATCACGCAGGTTAAATGAAAAATGTGCATGTTTTTGGTCATGCAACAGATCGACAGTCAAATTGCAATTTTTTATTTCCCCTCCCAGTGTGTGTCCTGAACCTGCAGTCCAGTGGAGGGACTGTGTCAAACACAAACCCTCACCTCGCCTCCTGCTGTGAGCTTCTGGAGCTGGTCCTCAGGAAGGGGCTCCAACGTTAGTATCCCATAATATGTACTTACCTGAAAAAATGCCACATTTGTACATATTCATTCCAATGCGATACATATTGCTGAGAGCAAATTGCTATATTGCAAGCTTGTATACCTGGCATGCATATTTTGGGGTGTCAGTTTATGCTTTGCGTGGTTGTAAAACACAATACTATGGGGCAGAGTTTGATGTATTTTTTAAATATTTATAATAACACAATAATACGTGCAAAGTACATCTTTGCAGTATGGACTGAGTGCATGTTTGCTCTCCCTCCAGAACCAGTTCTCAGTCTGGTACACAGAGACTACTGGCAGTGTTTTGAACAGCTCACTCGCCAAGATGCCTGTGGCAGGTAACAACATCCTGTTTAGATTAACTGGCTTTAACTCCATACTTTATACTGTTGTAAAAAATACAAAAATAGCACTATTTCAATCCTTGCTAATAGCTGTTGTCTGTGCTGATGTGCGTGCAGGCTGTCTGCCTTGTCCTTGGTGGTGGAGCAGACCAGAGTGTGCAAGAAGCTGCTCTCAGCTCAGGGCCGGGGCCGCTACCTGCTCAGACTGGCCCTCGTCCGCAAGGCTCTGCCACAGTTCATCACACACCTGCTGCACACACCCAGAGTCCTGGAGGTCAGATATATTTTCTGTGATACAGTATATTTAGTTATTGCTATTGATGCCTTTTTTTCTGGTGCTGCCCGTACGTGTCTTTTCCTGGCACTGTTAGATGCCCATTGCTGCTGAGTCTCACTAATAGACTGAAACCGCTTCAGTTCATACTGTGTCTCTCCCCTCCAGTGGTACAGCCCGGAAGTGTCAATCCTCAGGAATGAGCAATTTATGGGTGAGGCTTTTTACTTGATTGCTTTCACCTAACGCTGAGCAAAGCTGAGGAAGTTCTTGTCACCGCTGCCATTCAGTGTCCAGCATCATCACCACTGTTCTCTCCCTTCCAGAGCCTTTCATGTCACTGCTGCTGGTCCTCTCTCACATGGACTTCAAACTGGACATGGAGGTCAGTTCAGCTCCTTTTTATTTATGCCGTTAAAAATTGCAAATATGCTGAGTAACATTTTTTCAAACTTTTCAGGCCACACAGGATTTTCCTCCAAAATATAACACGACATTGTCTTTTAAATCATTTTGATTTCAAATGACTCAAAACTAATTACCACCTCCGGTCTCTGTACACAGAATTGCAGTTTTCTGGATGAGAGCTGGCTCCTACCGGTAATAAAAAAACACAACAATGATTGTTGTTTTGGAACACTCAGCATCACAAGAATATTACTCTGGATTTTAGTGGCAATGGGATCTTTAAGATGCAGAGAGATGATCAGCAGAATGTGAGAGACGGTCGTTTGATTGTTTCTATTTGATTGTTTCCAGGTGTGTGAGACATATGAAGTGGTGCCCTGTCGGGAGGTGGGGATGGTTTTGAGGTTTGTATCGTCCCCTGCTCTACAAATACTTTCTATCCATCAAGCATATCTACTCATATAGTCATCCGTCCAACCTGCTGCATCACCTCCCTCCGTCTCTGTCTGCCTCAGGTATCTCAGTGGGCGCGTCTTCGTCCTTGACCTGATGCCCGGCAGTCAGGCTCACGTCGACATGTTTATCTCCCCTGGTGACATCATTGATGAGATCAACGGCACCTCGCTGAGGAATTCCAAGAATAAACAGGTATCCTCACACATGCAGTGTCATATATTAAAGTCATAAGGCTCACAGACATCACGTCTGTTTCTATGTCGCCATAGTGTAGCTGGTATTATTTTTTTAAATAATTCCTATATTCGAGCACTTATTTCCATTCCTACTTGATAGACACCTCCCTCAGTTGCACTAACTAACTTACATTATTTTTATTAGTATATGTAATTTGAGGACATTCATTAAATTCTAAACAGGTGCAAAAAAAACCAACAGTCTGTTATGACGGTGTGTGAGGTCTCACTGCAGCCCTGTTAGTACATTAGATTCTGTGCACAGAGAACCAATGAGTATTTCCTAATGCCTTTGGGGACAGATAGTACAGCTCACATTCTCTGTGTATTCTCCCATGAACCCATGAGACACTGGCCAGGCACACCCTTGACAAACCCTATAAGTGTTTGCATTAATTAGAAATTAAAAACACCTGCTGCTCTCAAAATGTTTACATTTGCTGTTGGACAAGCCTTCACGATTGGCTGCTGGTTTTCGGTTTCTCCCAGGCAGGTGTTGTTTTTTCCCGGCTGAAGGGCTGCCCCATCTCCATTGGTGTTCTGCGGTGGCGGGCTCAGGATGGGACAGTGTACCGGCCCCTTGTCAAGCTCCTGCGGGCCCTGAGGACGGAGAACCCCGCCATGCAGCTCGGTCCTGCTCCCTCCCAGCAGTCACCCCCCAAGGATCAGAGAACCTCTCCATCACAGTGTCCCAAAGAGAGAAGGCAAGTTGGCCATCAAATTTAGGGAGGATTCTGCTAGGTGTACTCTTGACTGACCTACCTCTCCTCAACAGGATTGTGTACATTGTGCAGTTCTTGGGAAAAGCAAACATTGGAATGGTAAATAATCACCACTGCTTTACAATTAAATACATGTTCAATCTCTGTAGCTGTATTGGTTGTTTCTATAACTGCTGCAATATCTGATCTTATCCTTTCTTAGCGTGGGGGCAAAGAGGTGCTGCAGCTCGCCATTACACAAGTGTTGCAGAAAAACCTGCCCAGCAAGGTAATGTTATTGCACACGCCGCCTCGGGGCACATTGGCTTACAACACACGTCAACATCAACTCTGTAATTTCTCCCACAGGACGTGGTCTTAGATATGAGGGAAACACATTTGACGTGCACAGACACAAACAGTAAATTGGTAAGCATGCGATATCAGTTACCTGTTTAGCATGTCTTTGTTATTGCTCGACATGGTCAGATGGAACAATGCTTTTATTTATTTATTTATTTTTTTTAATCAGGAGCTGTTTGAGCACCACTACCCAGAGATTTCATGTGTAGGGAGATTTGGTCAACTGGACTACACAATATTTGCATTCTGCATGGCGTAAGTAGTATCGTTGCCACTATGAGCATTCAATCCCACACAGCCATATTAGTCACAGGTCTCCATACATGTGATGCGATACGTAAGCCATCAAGTCTGTCATTGGTTGAGCTTCTCATTCAAGCGTGTCATTGGCTCGCTTCACAGAAACTCCCCAGAGACCCCTCAGTCCACAGGCTTCTGCTGCATCGCATTCAGAGCAAGCAGCACAAAGGAGTGTGAGGAGATAGTCTACCGTATTGGTGAGGAACAGCAGCTGTGCATTCTACAGAGGCAAATTGTTACCTACATTTTAATAGACATTGAATTGTATGCTCATGTGTTTTCTTACAGCTACTGGCTTCAAGCATACAGAGTGGTTTGTATGACAACTCAGTGACATCAAACTCTTGTATTCTGTCTGGTTGTAAATAAATGTAAAGTTTATGTAAACAGTAAATCACCAACTTATTTCCACAAATTCATTTCAATGAACTACAGCACACAAGGCTTTCTACTCATAAAGACCTTTAATAGAAAGACACGCGACAACATTTTCATAAATAGTATTAAATGTAGCTGCCAAGGTTTATGTTGAAAAACATGTAAAAAGAAGTCCAGAAAAATACAGGAGGGGGGGCCATGCTCCCAGTCACAGAGTGTAGAGTATCAACAGATACCAACACTGCAGTGAGACTGGCTGAGCAGGACGTGCTGGCATTTTGTGACGAGTGGTAGGCGGGTGAAGAGACCCTGGACCCCCCAAAGAAGATGCGAAGAATTTATCCCTTAGACAACTCCCATCCCAAGGTGGAGCCTGATGTCCACAATGAGCTCGAAGGGTGATGCGATGGCTGGAGTAATGACCCAATGAATGGAATACTCGGCAAGACACTCTTAACTGCACAACATTTCCAACTATCTTAAGGGTACCCGGGCTTGTGGAATGATTGATCTTGATCTAAAATACAAAAAATCCAAAGAAAACTTGTAAAAAATACCCAAGAAATAAAATGTCCACAAAAATGGTACGATAAATAGGATAATTTGCCGCTTAGGCCCTCTCTCCTCTTATCCTACGAGCCAGCTGGATGTCTTTGGGCATGATGGTGACACGTTTGGCGTGGATGGCGCACAGGTTCGTGTCCTCAAACAGACCCACCAGATAAGCCTCGCTGGCTTCCTGTTGAAAGGGAAAGGAAAAGGAGATTAGATTCATAGCAACTACCTTTGCCCCACTAGTACATGCTTATGACTGATCTGGGTTTTTACCTGAAGAGCTCCGATAGCTGCGCTCTGGAAACGCAGATCTGTCTTGAAATCCTGTGCAATTTCTCTCACCAGACGCTGGAAGGGCAGCTTGCGGATGAGCAACTCTGTGGACTTCTGGTAACGACGGATCTCCCTCAGAGCCACAGTTCCAGGTCTACACAAAAGATTTTAGCACAGTATTAACAATAAGTATTAGCACCAATTTAGTCAAATATGACAAACAAGACAAATGGAAACCAAGATTGTATGTCACACATGGTTTATGGCGTGCCGTCACTACACCCTACCTGTAACGATGGGGCTTCTTCACTCCTCCCGTGGACGGTGCGCTCTTCCTGGCTGCCTTGGTAGCGAGCTGCTTCCTTGGCGCCTTTCCTCCAGTAGATTTACGAGCAGTCTGCTTGGTACGTGCCATCTCGTGCTTGCTAAAAATGAAAATTATAACCAGTGGAATTAAAATCGGTCGCAGTGATTTTCGGCAACATGCTCACGCAGCAGCACCAAGCCGCAAGGGTTCGGTATTGAGTACCAAGCTAAGACGCTAACCCGCCTAGCATACAGGCTAATAGTTCCCCTCCCCCCAGGTTGCACCACTGGGAGGCGTCGTGTTTGCTCCGGTAACGTTACGCTCTACCGACATAATCAGCGCAACGGTAAAGTAAGGCCTTAATAAAAGCACAATAAACATTTCAGCGTTGAGCACTTTTTTTTGGCAATCGGCGCCGTGGTCATTTAAGTTACAATGATCTCACGTATTCAGACGCCATCAGCGTCAAAACTCTCGGTCCTTGAAACGTTTAACAGCTCAAGCCAGTGAGCCTGAGCTTCTCGGCCTCGCCATTTTATACGTTTCTCATTTCACCCTGAGGCGACATTGCATCAGTTCAGCGCAACATTAGCACACACACAATTAACGCTTCATCAGCTGTCTCTGTAGGAAATACCCGGCTTCGATCTCGACGGTTTATTCTAGTAATTAAACTCGTGAACTAGGTCTAGTTTCGTTTTAACGAGCCAACGTTGACATTCAAGTCCAAAACATGAACTGTAAGATAATCCATTGTTCTATTTGGAGCTAACGCTAACGTTAGCATGTCGCCATGTTGGCCTGTTTCACAAACAATGCCTGTAAACACAAACTTAAACCGCAAACACAATTCACATTATTATTGACAAGTAGCTCGCGTAACGTTACATTATCGACAGGGTAAGCCTGATATTTACCTTTAGGACGTCGGTCGATATGAGACAGTTGCGGTTAGTGGCCGTTAAACAATATGTGACGAGAGCGGGCTGAGGTCGAGTATAAGTACTGTGTCGTGACGTCATGGTGGTGAAACACTACGCCCTCATTGGTTCACATACGTCAGTGGTGACAGCCAGTAAATACGATAAAGCAAATAATAAACCACAACGAGCTAAAAGCGCACTTTGGACAAACAGATAAAATCAAAAAGAGGACAATTTTCAGTATTATACACACAATAATATTATTGAGATGATGGAAGTTTTTTTATATATATTGTAAATACTAGACATTCTGATCCACACTCCATACCAGTGAGTGGCGGTAATGCACTAAACCGTTGATTGCCAACCGCCAATAAACCTAAAAAAGAAGAAGAACCCACACAAGTGAACATTTTAATGTCCCCAGGTTTTCTACAACCCATGAGTATGTAGCTCTGTTATGCAGTGTCACAGTAAAGGATCTAATCTCGTACGTGTCTCGAGATCTTCACAAACATTAGTTAAGTTATGATTGCTGTTCATACAGCCATGACTTCATGCCCCACAGTTCCGGCTTGTCTCTCTGCTACTACTTCCTCCTGCCTTGCGCAAGCTCACATCGTTGTAGAATGCGGATTTAGACGCTAGTAAGAATAGCTAGCCAGTAAGCTAAAAACAAGCTTCTTGTTGTCAGGCTTCATACGGGTAAAAATGTCTAAAACACACGCACAGCCCCCGCCATCTTCGGCAGTGACGACTACCGGGGCACCCTCTTCGTCCTCTTCGTCTTCGCCCGCTGGGGGCTCGACATCTCCCGCAACCGTGTTGAACGTGCAGCCCGAGAAACCTCAACATTACACGTACGTAGCTAGTTAGCTGGGTTAGCATGCCAAATGTACACAACCTCACGTGTAGTTGCTTACGCTAAACCACAGCTGAATTGTATTTAACGAGTGAGTTATGAACTTCACATTCTTTAACATGACTGGGCCAAGCCTATTGAGCGATAATGTGATTATTAACTGCAGCAGGTCTCGATAAAAGAGGCCTAACGTTAACGTACTCACTAAGAGTAGCCGTTTCTTACACGCTTTGTGCCACAGCACCGTTTAAGTTTGTGAATGTGTCTCACTGCTGCATGGACTTAATGGAAGTTTAGTTACATTGTATGTAAGCTTCCCGGAGGACCACGTTTGTCACAGTAGCAGAGAATAAGAGGAAGAATAAGGGTAAGACATATAGGGATCACTAGGAAAAGCATCACTGTGAGCAATGCTATTGAATACACTGTAAATAAATATAAATACACTATTACTTGCTTAAGAAACCTCAAAAGGCGGTTACACTTTCTAAATAAATGTGTTTCACTCTTGTTGCTGTCCTCTCCCCCAGATATCTGAAGGAGTTCAGAACTGAGCAGTGCCCCCTGTTCGTCCAGCATAAGTGTACACAACATAGGCCCTTTTCCTGTTTCCACTGGCACTTCCTGAACCAGCGGCGCCGCAGACCCATCCGCAGGCGGGACGGGACCTTCAACTACAGCCCAGATGTGTACTGTACCAAATATGACGAGGGAACGGGCACCTGCCCTGATGGAGATGAGTGAGTGTGACGTACAAAGGCCGCTTCACACCGCGTTAGCTCTGCTTATCACGAGCCCCCCTCAACAGAGCCTCACGTTCAATATAAACTATCAGGGACCTCTGTGTTAGTCTTGTTTTTTGCACTGAATTGCAAAAACCGGCCCACACTGTACAAGGGAAGATGAAAATGGCGACTTGAGTGTGATACGTCTGGGTGAATTACACACCGCTTCGGTTAAATCTTGCTGGTATCCAAAGCCTTGTCTATGTCTCATCTCGCAACATTTGTCAGCTTTTACATTTGAATCCTGAATTGCTCAAGTGAATCACCAGAATGGGTGGAAAATTGCATGTCAAAGGACCTTTTGGGTGAAAGACGGGGAAGTTGCGACTGAGGACACACCCTGTCCTCAGTTACAAGTCGAGCTGGAGGACAATCTTCACAGTGAGCATTAGCACCTGAACAAAGCCATTCTCCCACTCCGTGTGATTCTTTTAGACTGGAATATGCAGAGCCGTTATGATCTGTTTGACACCCTATTGGTGACGATCACAGACGAGGGGAATGCAAACAAAGGATGGAGGGAGGTGTGATCTCTACGATACGTGCTAATGAACCACTTGGAGCGCTAAGGGAACATTGCGAAAGATTCCTCTTCCAGCTTGTGTCTTAAAATGCCTAGTTACAGAGAATGGGAATTGATTACAGACTTTATAAAGGAAAAGTTAAGTGCTATTTGTATTTGTAAGTTCCGGCAAGAATCATACAATGTTGTGTATGCATACTGTAAATGATTTGCCTCAAAAGAACTGTGTGTCTTTATGTTTGTGTCTATGTTGTCTCTGTGTTCCAGATGCCCATTTCTACATCGGACAGCAGGTGACACAGAGCGAAGGTATCACCTCCGCTACTACAAGACGGGATCGTGTATTCATGAAACGGACGCGAAAGGCCATTGTAGCAAAAACGGCTCCCACTGTGCCTTTGCCCACGGATCACATGACCTGCGCAGCCCTGTTTATGACATCAGGTGCCAAAATCAATTCATTTCACCACCTAACCAATCGACCTTTGACTTCCTATCAGTTTCTGTTTGTGTATTTGGTGCTGTAGTTGTTGACAGAGATCTCTTTACACTGTGAATTTCCCAGAGAAGTGCAGGTAATGGAGTGTCAGGGAGGCTCGGGGCCCACAGAGGGAGGTGGAGGAGATGGACAGTCAGGACAGGCAGCAAGCATGGCCCTCATAGAGAAGATACTGAGTGAGGAGCCACGCTGGCAAGGTAAGTCTGGTTTACAGCACTTTAACGCTCAGGTTGAAGAAAAGCCCTGTGTCCACATTGTGGACGTGTTGCTGACGGGTACCGATGACACATGACATATGAACCAGGAAGTCTAGCTTGAGTAACTGATCCCTGACTTTGGAGGCTTATCCGATGCTAAAAAGTGCACCGATATCTAAGACTCTAAACAGTGGCTACTATGTTATCTTTAATTGCGAGGTAAATGGTAGAAATATGGCGTTCGTGTTAAAAATGTATTTACCAGGAATGTGTAAGTCAGAAGAGGTTGAGTTAACTGTGTTTCTTTTTTGGTGTGTTCTTTTTGCTGGAGCCCTCTGTGTTGGCACCTCCGCTGCATTGCAGGACTGGCCTCATTCAAGTGAGAGAGAGGGGTACATTTGGTCTGAATGCGCGGGCTTGCTTGAACTACGCCAGTTTTCAAAATTCATACATGTTATTCCCGTGGTCCAAGATGGTCCAAAACTATTAGTAAACATGAACAACTCTCTCCGTAAAACTAATATATTTAATATATAAAAAAAATTCAAACCTTCTGTGGGTCTCCCATTCATCGTCTATGGAGCAGCTCCACACTTCATACTTGAGAGAGAGTAGCTCATGCTCACAGCTTTGATTAAACCTTTGTAGGCCATGGAAATAACACTGTAATGATTCATTAAGGTGGTCTTCCCCTTTAACCCTTTTAAATGCAGTAAAGAAAACAAAAAAAACAGCCTCACTCCTTTTTCTCTGTTTGAAGGATCTCCAGTCATTTTACTGTGAATCATCTGATCAGGTGACTCTTGATCATCTGCTCGCCTCATTGTCTCCTTCTGTGTCTCTTGTGTTTCAACTCCTTAGATAACAACTACGTGCTGTCCCAATACAAGACAGAGCTCTGTAAGAAACCACCTCGCCTGTGCCGTCAAGGCTACGCCTGTCCGTACTACCACAACAGCAAAGACAGGAGGCGCAGCCCGCACAAGCACAAATACAGGTAACAGGAAAATATCTGAAGATGGTGGTATTGGTTTTTGCCCAGTTGCGATTGCGTTTCACAAAATGTGTTGTTTGCTCTTGCCGCCGCAGAGCGTTGCCTTGTCCAGCTGTGAAACAGAGTGAGGAGTGGGGGGATCCCAGTAAATGTGAGGGAGCAGAGGGATGCCAGTATTGCCACACGAGAACCGAACAGCAGTTCCACCCAGAGGTTTGTCTGCCTCAGCAAAGACCGTAATAGAATTTAGACCAGAAGTCACGAGAGATGAATATCAACGTGTGTTGATTTGCTACTGTTTGTCACAGATCTATAAATCCACAAAGTGTAATGACATGCAGCAGTGTGGCAGCTGTCCCAGAGGGCCCTTCTGTGCCTTTGCTCATGTTGAAAGTAAGTCCTCATCACACATTCTCAAGCCTGATGATTCAGTTTACAATTCACCATTATATTCTTGATTGACATCATTGCTTTGCAAACCTTCCTCCAGGGCCCTTTGTTCCAGAGGAGCCCCCATTCCCCTCGCCAAGCTCCCCTCCACCCCCCAGACCTCCAGACCCTCTTCCGGCCCAGGAAGCTTCTTCAAGTCCCAGCAGACACAATATGGGGCACGGGCCTGGTTCTGTTTCGGACCCCTTCTCTCTGCCCGCGGGGTCTTGCATAGCGGAGCACGGCCTGCTGGGTAGTGTTCTGTCTCTGTGTGAGGACATGAGCGAGAGAGCGGAGCCTCTGTCTCCCTGGGCAGGAGAGGGAGGGTACGGCAGAGCGCCGGGATTTGAGAGGGAGGATCAGGTGAGGAGGACAGACGAAGAAATGGGATTGAGATGAGAAAACTCATCTGTTGAATGATGTCAAAGTTCCTACAAAATGGCATATTCACTCTTATATTGCTTGTGGTTTCAGGCAAAGCAAAGAAGCTTTGCTCTCGAGCAGCGCAACCGGGAATTGGCAACAGTACAAAGCAAACAGGTAAAGTGACAATCTCAAACTCAAGTTGTTTCTGTTTTGTTTTTTATGCTCTCTAAAAGTCTGCACACTTTCAGCTTGTTAATACTTGTTAATATTAATCTTGCTGCAAGGACGCGTGAATAAACGTAACACTCGTTCCTTCAAAAACCACGTTGAATATTTGTTCTCCTTCAGGACTTGTTGGTGTTTCTGCCCGTGGGAAGCCCTTTGAGCCTGTCCTCCAGCATCCCTTCCAGTCTGGCCGCCACCCCACCCAGCCCCGCCACTCTCGGACCCCCGGGATCCGGCATCTCGTCGGGCATGAACGCCAACGCCTTGCCCTTTTACCCCACCAGTGAGACCGTGGAGTCAGTCGTCGGTAGGTGGAGATGTGCAGAAATCCTGAATCCACATTTGAAACGGTTGTGGCGATACAAATCTAAAATAACTGAGTGTGATAATTAGTTCTGGTGTTGTGTGTGTGTGTTATAGAGTCAGCCCTGGATGATCTGGACCTGAATGATTTTGGTGTGTCGGTGTTGGAGAGGAGCTTGGAGAGCAGCTCTGCTCTGCCCAGTGTGGGAGTTATGCTGGGTATTTCAAGGACACAAGAATGCAAATATGAACACATTTAGCAGCATCCTTATGGACATAAACATAACTAATTATTTGTCTCCATTTATAGGAGGAAGCCAGTTCCAGAGTTCTGCCCCAGTCAATATCCCTGGCTCCTTTAGCAGCTCCGCTCCTTTCGGCTCCCCTTCGCCGTCTCCCCCAATCAGACCGCACACCTCGCCGTTCTTTTCTACTCATCTGTCACAACCCGGCCAATCAGAAAGCACCTTCTTGGGACCATCTCACAGCTCTTTAGGTTGGCAGAATTTGACAGAAGACATAGAGTCGGGTAGTGAGGGATAATATGACTTTGCTTATATGTATTATTTTCTTTGCAGGTCTGAACGGTATGAGCACTAATATCTGGGAGCATTTTCCATCCGGCCAGGGCTCCCCCGGCACCCCCCCCCACCCTCCTGCCCTCTGGCCCCGGTGCAGAGACCTCCAGGCTCAAGCAGGAGCTGGAGGAAGCTCACAGGGCCCTGAAGCAGTGGGGTCACAGCTGGAGACACACAGCTCAGGTAGGTAGGTAGGTAGCGGGGCACGTGTGCGCACACACGTCTGTGACAGTGCTGTTAATAAACACCCGCGTGTTTATACACGTTGCAACGACTGGGGTAGAATTTATTACGGTTTCAAATGAGCCTTCCGTGTCTTGCAGTTGTGGGCCGCGGTGAAAGCGGACGCAGAGGAGTCGAGAGCCCACGCGGCACGGTTAACCATGGAGGCCGAGAGAGCCAAGCAGGCCGAGGAGGAGGCGCAGAGACAGGCGTCTCTCCTGCAGGAGGCGCTGGAGAGCCTGAGGAGTGGAGACAACCCCCATCTAGCACTGCATCAACTCCAGCTGCTACACCGGCTGCCCTTGGAGTCAGTCCTCAGTTTGAAGGCTCAGCTCTGCAGCTGCTTACACGCTGTGGAACAGGTAATACCACAGACTTGCATGTACTTGAGACCAGCATGGTGAACCGAAACATGCATGGCCTCAACGGGTTCTGATTCAGTTGTTTCCTCATCCGTGGATTTTTAGATTTACTTTGCTCACAAAATAGCGGTGAACATTGTGTCTCGTCCAACGTGCTTCAGTTTAAGAGGTCTAAATACGTTTGCTCTGCACTTTGCTAGGTGGTGTACAGGAAACAGAGACAGTGCTGTGTGACGTGTGGCGAGCAGGGCTCGGTGTCCCTGCCCTGTGGCCATGGACTACAGTGTGAGAGCTGCTCCGCCTCGACGGAGTGCCCGCTCTGCCCTGAACAGACCCTGGAGCAGCAGCTCTCTTGACCCCCCAACCCACTCGGACCACCACAGATTTAAAACCAGTCAATCCTGATTCCACAGACACCAGCCTTGGATCTCAACCGCCATTCGAAATCATGTCGAGGTCATTTTATAACGTGGTGACAGCACAGGCGCTGATTTGGTTTTGTATTTTGAAGACAACGTTTACTGATGAATGACCAGCACAGGTCGCTAAGTGAAAGCTCTTAATGTGGAATTTAGAATTAATAATTTTTCTAGTGGTTACCTGCGGAACACCAGTACTTTTTTACTAATGCTCTTGACCAGCAACACTGTTCTTTACCCCTGTTCTGGATTTGTGAAAATAACTTCAAGACCTGCTGTTATTTCTTCTCTAACCCTGCCGATAAATCATTTACAGCCATTGTTCTCAATCATATTTTGATATGTTTTAAAGTATGAGCTCACCCTAAAGAACATTTCCGGAGTGTTATCTAGCTTCTGGATAGCGTCAGTGTGATTTACGGAGGTTTTAAAGATGTTTGCTGTCACCTTGTTCCAAAAAAAGGTCGATGACATTTGGTTTTTGGTGCTCAAAACTCCAAAATATTTTACAGTTAAGTCTCTTTCTGGAAATCATGACAGTTACTCGTGATAATCACAGTCCTCACAAACCACAATAATCATAATCCAGAGTTGGGAGCAATCCACATTACACGCTATTTTCTACTTAAGCAAGCCCACTAACTGCGTGCCATATAGAATGAAGTAAACCAGTAGCCATGGACGAGATGATTATCCTTTGTGACAACACATGAATGTAAAGCTGCAGTGGTCTTCTTAGCTGAGTGTTAATACTCGGTGGCCGTGTTGAATCACTGTGGCACACTCTGCTGTGTGTTGACATCCTATTTAGGGCACCACGAGTAACTGTGTTGTGATTTCTGAAAAGAGGCAAATTTCTTTGTTTGACAGCAAAGATCTCAAAACCTTCGAGGTGGATGGATGATACGGCGGATTAGCAGTTAGCAGGGTTATGAGCGGTCTTAACAGAATCAAGAGGTCAGACTGAAAACACTTACTGTGCATATTCAGCGTCATCCAGACAATGATCCTGTATTGCTACAGACAAAAAAGGGGGGGGGGGGGGCGTCACACCAGTCTGCTGGCGATGCTCGTCAAGGTTATAATCATTTCTTCTTTAATTACATTTTTTTTTTTTTCCATAGTTTTTTCTAGTAAACGAAATCTAAAATGGTCAATTACTGTTGGATAACAGACAATATTTCAAAATGTAATATTTGTTTAAATTTACAACAGATGGCCTCTTTTCAAACTCTCAGGTTTTCTCTAATATTCCTCGACATAAACTGGAAGAGGAAAGCATGTTAACACAATCAAAGCAAATGTATTCAGTCAACTTGTGTAGTCTTTGAAATTATATATATTTTTTAATTTTACTTCAAATCTTTTCATGTCAACTCGGACGTACAAACCTTTGTTATAACCCGGCCCATTTTCTGTTTAAAATCAATGTCCGACAGGTTTCTTTTCTCTGCCAACATCTTTTTTTTTACATTTGTAGTAATCTTTGACATTTCTCAGTGTGTCAAATGTAGTCCAATATATATATATTATATATATACACATAGTTAAGTGATGCCATACTTATCTCTTGCACTGATTAGACCAAACATCAGGAAGCAGACAGATGTGTGAGGTGCATGGGGTTTAAATGCAGATGTGAAAGTGTTCATGATCACTGTGATGGTCTTTGGTAAACCCATGCTCAGCATACTGTCCACACACACACACGACTCATCCGACACCAGTGTTTCTTTCTGAGTGGATATTTCTTTGTTTTTGGTACAGATCATTAAGAATAAATTGTTTATTTTTGGAAGGAAGAAGTTGTCTGTGTGCTTGTTAGGGATGAATCCCCTCCTGGGACTGTTTCTCTCTCTGCCTTCGCTTCTTCACGTAGGCCTGAGCCTCTCGCTCTCCTCTCCTGGACTCCAGTAACATCAGAATGCTGTCCTCTGGAAAATGAGAAACAGGTTCAGGATTAGGTTATGTCTTTGTCTTGAAGTTCATTTAAAAATATATATTTTTACCACAACAATTATCTCACATCTGGACTCAGATAGGGTCCAAAGCGGGTAATTTTTTTGCCCTGGACCACTTTGGTTAATAGGTTGATCAAATGACAACCTGCTTCATTGGTCTAAACCCACTGACGGATCATACCATTAGGTTTAGGGTGCATTAGAGGCAGTCGGATCTGAGCAGGGATGGCGTCTGGCTGTGAGCTGAGTCCGTCTCCTTCACTTTCCCCAGCGACTCCTGGTATGGCCTTGAGGGCCAGGAAGGCCTCGCCTTCAAAGTCATCCGTCCTCAAGGTGTCGTGGTCCAGAACTGTCACCACCAAGCAAGCCCCCGGAGCCTGGCACTGATCCAGGGACACCAGACTGTGATATAGAGGAGGCAGAGATCAGAGGATGGCGACGAGAGAGGTCAAAAACATCTGCGTGGCTGTAACACGTTCACAAAGACTGACAACTTACAATTCGAAGGTCTCATCAAAAAGCGGATTGAGATCACAGCTCTTGATGCGAGTGCAGCGAGGCTCCACCTCGGGGAAAACGTGGTTCGGCTCCAGACACAGCTGCACAAACGGATCGCTGAGACCTGGCAAAGGCATCGAAGCATTAGGCCCTCAGGAGAGGTTGCGCGGCAATGTGCATTAACGTGTAATGGTTCTATGTGGCTGCAGCTGTTCTGCATGGTCATACCGTTGGAGTCCATTGGTAACAGGTTGACCGCACTCAACACCTCGACTCTGAGTCTTTGGTCTGATCTGCTGTAGGACGCCAGCAGGGTGACCGCACCGTATTTCTCCGAACTGTTCACGTTCTGTCGCACATACGGGAGAAACAGAGAGAACGGTTGAACAACCAGCATAAGTTTTACTGTAGCCGGAGAAGCGTTTCCCGCCTCTTACCTGCTCCCATATTTTCCTCTCAAGGAACTTCTCCACCAGCTGCCAGCTGCTCAGAGAGTTGTGAGTCAGGTGAACTTTGAGAGCCTGGACACAGAAAGAAGAAATGTGAATAAAGCGTATTATCACACGGTTTTCAATGAACACAAAAAGAAATCTACGGCTGAATGAAATGTTGCCTTTAGCTTCTCACCTTGTACTCCTCAGAGTGGAGCGTGTTCAGCGGGAGCCCGTTTCCCTCAGCGAGGAAGCACTGCTCCAGGCACTGAAATTCACACAGCACACAATATAATGTACCACGAAGCTAATATAACATGTCTTTGTACAGATTCAAGAAATTCTATATAAAATGTGAATTTGTGCGCTTTAGAGGTGCTGGGAGGTGGATTTATTCGACATTTGGATGGAGCCAGGCTAGCTCTTTCCCGCTGTTTATAGTCTTTATGCTAAGCTAAGCTAAAAGTCTCCTGGCTAAAGCTTACTGGGCAGGAATAAAATAGCTGGTTCCCTCGTCTCGAAGGCAATGAGTTTTTGGTTCGATGCCTAATAAAGCCGTTTGCTTTAGTGGCTAAATGAGACTACCGAACGCCGTCATCACGCTGACTAGTCCACCATTACGCCGTTGTTGTGTTTCTACATGGCGTTTATAGCCTGACGTTAGCTTTTTATTACTGCCGACTGCATTCATGCTTCATAAATCATAAATAGTGGTGTTCATTTGTAAAGATTATCTTGCTGAACAATATGTGTAACTATCACAAACCTGTGTTTGCCACAGATTTTATTTTCTGCAATAATCCAATTTAAAAATCTCATTGGAGGTTTTTTTCCTCAAGGAAACCGGGGTTGGCCTAAAACCAATATGTCACCCCTGCTGCACTTTAAAGCTGACTTGGCATATTTCCTAAAATTTCGAACCTGGTACTTCAAGTGGAATTCTTTCACAGCTGAAGCTAATTCATTACAAACGCTTTCTTCTGCCCTGCCAGCTTCAGACAACCACCCTGCCGAAAGACCGACCTGCAGCGTGTACAGCAGTCTCTGGCAGAACACCATGAGCCCTCCTTGCTGTGGGTGCTGAGTAGCCACCTGGTAGAGGATCTTCACTGAGTTAGTCCACAGAGGAGTCAGGAGACTGGACACCAGAGGTAAAAAAACAAAACACATGACACAATTAATGAAGCGGCGCAGAGGGAGAAACTGGATTAAATCGACGTGGTTGATGACAGAATTGTGACACGTAGCCTGTGTACCTGTTGAAGTTCTCTTGAACCAGGTTTTCATTCATGTACTTAAGCTCCTGCTCCAGGTAGCGCATCAGAGGGTCTGCGGCCTAAAAGAGAAGAGGCTGGATATCAGCCATCCACAAAAGGCATCTGTATTTGTGTTACACTGGCAGTGACGGTCACCTACATCCTCCGTGGACTTGGAGGGAATCCTCCGCTTGGTTGACATGTTCCGGACATGAGTCTCGATGTCTATGTTTAACTGGAAGGGCAGACAAGAAGGCAGATCGTAGAGGTCATGTTGAAGAGGTTTCTCTTTACCTGATATCATCGTTTTGTTTCTTTTTTGTAAGGATTTACTGACGATCAAATGCCACGTGTTAAATGTCGCACCTTTTTCCCGAGAGTATCTAAAGCGGAGCGGATCTCTCGGCCGAGGACGGCCTGGGCTTGCTGCAGCTGTGAGTGCAGAGTGTTGTGGAACTGGCTCTCCCCGATCACATTCTGGGTCCGGTCTCGAAGCCCTGCCCAGTTCAGCTGTGTGGGAAGTCGGCTCAGCACTGACCGCAAGTGCTCCAAGTCGTTCACCACCACGCACAACTACGGAGAGAGGAGAACGATTTGAGCTGTGTTTCGTGTATACCATGCTAAATGTTTCTTTTTTTCTCTCTCCTGGCCTGCCTCCTTACCATGTTGATGGCCCTGCCGTGGTCGGACTTCTCGGACAGCACCCTGACCCTCTCCTTCAGGGTGTGACAGTAGTTCACCACGATCTTGCACACATCCTGAAAACACACAGAAAGCAAAGATTCCCACACTCAGATAATGTGACCAGAATAGCATGTGATTGGGACCATGTCGATGGCTGCGTACTGTACCTCGGTGAGTTTGACCATGAGCATGAAGGCCTCCTCGGGGTCGGGCCAGGACAGCTGCTCCCACAGCTGGCAGATAGGTTGGATACATGCCACCAGGTCCACTGCTGAGGAGCTGTGCTTTATGGGCACCGCACCAGACTGCAGGGGCTGGAGCTGAGAGGAGAATTTAAAGCATATGATGATATTACCTGTGGATAAAATATACTACGTTCATCATAATAGGAAAGCATCAAAATCACAGGTGTTACCTGGTCTACCTGCACGGCCCTCTCCACCCTGTCCTGAGTTGTGCTGAAGGCCTGGTTCAGCCAGTGGGGCAGAGCCTCTCTGAAGCCCTCTTGAAAGTTTGTCAACTCAATTGATCCCCTGAAACAACAAGTAAGAACTCCTGACATTTGGACGTTTGTTCAGTATGAAACTCAGCTTCGTCTGGCCAAAGAGAGAAGGGCCTACAGGAGTGGCGAC